CGTGTAAGTTAAAAAATATCATGTGAGAGGAGTCGGCGAGGTTCATAATCAGCGGTTTTAGAAGCGCTGTGTGGGGAGTGCTAATTTAAGCACCGTCTTCACTACGCCAGAACAATTTGAGAACGGAGGTTTCACTCTGAAAACGCACAAAATGTATTCCATCCACAATTCGCCGAAGGAATTTAAAAGCGCAACAATCACCGGCCATCTTGAATTTGTGGTTGAGGAAAACTCGGACAGGGAAATCACGTGATAATCGTGACGTAATCGTTTTCTAAAAGCTCCGTATTCGTGATGTTTTCTGTTTACCCTAAAACGCAAAGCCGACGTTTTTAAATTCCTCCGGTTTGTGAAGCATTTTCGAAAAGCTCCGTTTTCGTGACGGATTAGTGTGGACGGTAAGCCAAAACGTAGAAGTTGCGTTGTCAAATTTCTCCGGCGTAGTGTGGACCTGACCTTACAGTAGGCACGTTTCCAAGTTAGGCAAGTTGCTAAGTTTGGTCGATGGTTTTTGTTTTCTTTTCGCCTTCGAGGTATTTACAAATGTCTATGCTATTGATACCAACAGGTGGGCGTATGGCATCGTACTTTGGGAGATTTTAACAATCGGTGCGTAGCATCTCACTTTTTACTCTGTGAAAAAAGTAATATGCATGCTAAGTAGCGTATAAATGAAGTTAGTATAGTCTGAACTGCAACCAGGTAGAACATTGAGAGGTAAACTGATCCAAACAGTTTTTCTTAAGCCCCGGCCAAACGATCGCAAGATTTCAATGACAATAATAACAACAACAACAACAACAATAATAATAATAATAATAATAATAATAAAACTTTATTAAAGTGTCAAACCATGTAGCCTCAGGGAGAAACCCATACTAATAAGGGGACACAGATTAATACAAAATACAACACTAAGAAGACTAAGATATCTACACTAAACTATGAATAATACAAAATGCAGTCTAAAATGTTTTAAAGACAAAGCTAAACATTATAGGTGCAACATATCGCAACATTGTTGGGCGCAACACGTTGCACGCGTTTGGTTACCCTGTTGTGACGTGTTGCGACTTTTTGGGTGTGGTTGGCTCAAGTTTCGTAGTGGTCAAATTTGAGCCAACAATACCTAACAAGTCACACCACGTCACAACAGGGCGGTAAAACGCACGCAACATGTTGCGCCCAACAATGTTGCGATATGTTGCGTTGAAATGTTGCGATCGATTGCTAAGAAACTACATGAAAATTAATATAAAAAAACAGAGAATTTTAAAAAGCCCGACCTAGGTGTAGTTCGATGTTATACTCTACTTTGCTGGGAAGTCAGAAGGTTATGTATGGCAAAATGGCTAAATGGTTCGTTGTATTGTAGGCTCGATTTCCGCTGCTCTCTCGTGTCTTGGAGCGTGGTCTTCTTTCCCGAACAGCGGCTGCTAATCGAGACTGGTTGTATGGCTAAGGATGTAAATTTTTAAGATAAACTATAACAAGCACATTGATGTGTGATTATAAGCTAGCTAGGGTCAAGCCTGGTTAACCACAACATGGTTAAAAATCCCAGCTGGCAGAAGACTAACAGTGCCCTAATAAATAACATGCTCTCGCTGCTCACCCCACCCCCACCCCTTCCGGGGGTGACTCCTATATGAAAAGGTCTAGGATGCTCGTCGGAAAATTGGAATTAGACTCCTAAAGGAGACCAAAAGGGCGTGGCTTAAGCTTTATTTGACCACTAAAAAACTACCACTTGAAACAGAATAATCTTGATTACCAGCCGCTGTTCAGGAAAGAAGCCCGTGCTAGTAGACCGGACTCGAGAGACGCGTGGAAATCGAGCCTAAAAACGTCTCACAAACTGATCTTTTTCTTTAATCTCCTTCTTTCTTTTTATCTAGGTGGGACGCCATATCCTACCATAAGTAATCATGAACTTTTGGGGGCTCTGAAATCTGGATACAGAATGGAAAAACCACAGATTTGCTCAGATGAAATGTAAGCCTCCTTATTTTGTAGCCCCGTTCTCTTCATGAAATGATGACTGACCACTGTCACTCATTTTCTCAGGTATGAATTGATGCGGCAGTGTTGGAAAGAGAATCCCGCTGAGAGGCCTTCATTCAATGACATCCGGGAACAACTGGAACGTATGATGTTACACCATTGTCCTTATTTGGATATGGCTGACGGAAACTATAGTTACGCACCATGTTATGACACTGTCAGTGACGAAAAAGCGGAACTGGAAAGTACTTTGTAAATTTGTATGTATGATTTTTCGACGTGATGACATGTCCTATAATGTTAACCCTCAGATCCAAGAGTAGATTCATAACTCGCCGTGAGGTGAGGGAGATTTTTCTTTCTGGACATATCAAACTATTCTGCGTTAAGTAACTCTCATTTTCAAATAGAAATAACCCTCAACTTACGCCATCTTGGATCCGCCATCTTAGAACGCACCAGCCTCGCAAGAGGTCAAGAACATGATAATAGAGTGTAAAAAACAAGACGTCTGTAGCCAATATTTCTTCATTTTATTCCTGTAAATCCTCATTTCACTTTGAATTTATCTATATTTCTTTTCTTTTCTAATTGCAATGCTCTGTGGGATCGTAAGCTCTTTTCTGGCTGGGGCTTCTGCAGGAGGCATCATCAGGTCCTGTGGGATAACTTCCTGACCAATAGAAAAAGTACGCCCAAACATTCATTTTAGTGAACTTGGTGAGCTGAAAAAGAAAAGTAAAAGAAGTAAGATAGGTTAAGACATTTATTCCGGGGGGTACTCCCTATAATAGGGGTATCGAATGGTCCAATTCAATTTGAAAGTGCTCGCAAAATTTGGCCTTTGCTCGAATTGCTCGCAAAAATTAGATGAGTGCTCACCTGGTCGTGCTCGCAAAATTTTTGCAACTGCTTGCATGCTCGGATTTTTGTTAAAATTCTCTGCTGTGTAGCGGAGGCATAATTTGCATCATGGAAACAAAAATTGACACTGGAAACAATGTTTCCGGTTTGGCAAACTGGGAAACATTTGAGAAACATGCACGCGCCATGAAAGTTGCTGGAAAAACGCTTCCTCGTTTTGTTGACGTTTTATTGAAACTGACCGGCCAAAGTTCAGTCCCAGGTAGTAGGGTTCCCTACCTGCAACATTTTGCTTGTAAAGGCGGGCTATCTTTAACCCTCTTGACAGGGAACCTACTTGCTTGTAAACAGGGCCTTAGAAAGCTTCAGATCTCCTTTAGCGTCCACCAACTGACTCACGTGAAGCTAAGTGAAGTAATTTTGCATCAAA